CCGAGAAGTTCCGATATAGAACCGCCCGAGCACCACCCTCCGTTAGGGTGCGGTGACCACATAGTAATGGCTATTCGTTGGCGGAATGCTACCCACGCACCCCTGGGATTACATAGAGGTCGAATTGTATGGCACACATAGTTTGAAGCGCTACGGGAGGCCACCATGGCTGTGCCGTGGCTCCCACCGATCCTTCATGAGATGAATGACCTAGAGTTCGTATGGGAACGCATTGGAGGCGGTATCCTCCACCTTACTGACACGTTTCCTCCAGCAGCTCACAGTAGACCGCGAACATTTGGGTCGCCATCGTTTGATCTTGAACTGCGACAATTACCCTGGCTTCGAAACCGCGCTTAGCAAGCTTTTCGGGCCACCGGTGCAGGCTACGACCTCTATCGGAGAATACGGAACGGGTGCACGGAGTTGAAACGATCCAAGCGGAGGACCTTCGAGGAGAAGCTGGCAGCTGACTCAGTGAAGGCTCCTAAACGACTGTTTCCTTACCTAAAACGGCGCTTGAGAGCTAGAGCTGGCATTCTGGCGTTAATCGATGGAGTTGTCATGGTTGACACCGACGAGGGCAAAGCGGAGCACTGGCCACACAGTATCGCTCAGTGTACACGACAGATGCTGCCTCCCCACCAAAAGCAACCAGAACCACATCGAGGCTAACCTTCAAAGAGTTTTCAGAATGGGAGGTAACAAAATTGCTCCAAGCGACCAAGACCAGTCAGTCTCCAGGCCCGGATGGTTTTCATCCTCTCATGCTCAAGAAACTGGCGGTACAGCTTTCCCCTCAATTATGCGGCTTTTCAACCTGTCAATGCTCTCGGGAATACTCTCCAAGAGTGGAAGAGAGCGGTTGTGGTTCCCAAAGGTGGAACGAAAGCTGCACCAGGCAACTACCGCTCCGTGAGCATCACATCGGTTGTGGGCAAGATGGTGGAACGGTTGGTGGTTTCGCGAATTATGGATCACCTTGAGCAGCAACATTGAATGTGTAGGGAACAACATGGTTTCCGCCAGAGGCGTTTCTAAATGGCCAATTTGCTTCTTGCTCCGGAATGTTGGTCTAGAGTCAAGAACGAGGGATATGGTACGGACGTTATCTTCGTTGACTTCAGCAAGGCGTTCGACAAAGTATCCCACGACAACTTGTTCACAAACCTCTGGGCTCTGGGTGTCACAGGGTCCACACTTCGCTGTTTAGAGGATTTCCTGAAAGAAGATCATTCACAGTGAGAGTTTCTCAGGCGCAATCTGTGTGGTAAACAGTCACCAATGGGGTTCCACAAGGATCCGTTCTTGGCCCACTCTTGTTCCTGATCTTTGCGAACCGTGGCGGTACGTTCCAACTGGTTGCGTGAAACTTGCTCCCTGGTTGAATCGTGAAATTTTGAAGGTTTTGTTGTAAGAACCCAACTGTATTGTACTTTTACTTTGGTATTATGCTTCTATAAGTGTGGCCATAC